TGGGATACACGCAAACGATAGAGGGCTTGCAATAGATATCCTCTCAAACAGGTGCCATAATAAAGCTCTGGATAGGGAGTGTGTTAAAACTACCAACATTTATATCCAAATTATTATAAGTTAATAACATTTTTACGACAGTAGTTGAGGGGGGTATTTATACGTGATACGTGTTTATAGTCATGTCACAATGAGCGATTTTTCGTTAATGTTGTACACACGATTAAATTTGATTTATATAAATTTGTTGCCTACGTAAGCGTTCGGCATTGTCCATATCAACATTACATCACGGTGATTTACAAACACAAACAAACTGTAAATAACTGATAAAACTTGGACGTTATTAGCAATACAAACTAAATATATAGTCACGACATTACTTACATGTGTCACTTTATCACCACACGGACATAATATGTCTTTTGTTGTTATGTTTTTAATATATATTTTTTATTTACGATATTTCAAGGTATGAAAGACCAATAGCCTTTTGAGAGATAATATGCAAGCATTTATTACAAGAAAACGAATGAAAATCATGGATACATTTCAGAAGTTCGTTGCAAGTTGAAAATACATACGTATTGTTCCATTTTTAAACATTCATCATTTTTTCTGAAACAGTGTGACCATTTTTTGTCATTTCTATCCAAAAGAGCATGCAGGTATATGAAAGGGATTATGTTTATGTTTTACAAAATATTCAAATAAATTAATTCAGTCTCAAGATAATTTAATATATACTGCAGGTGAAATTTATACATCGAGCTAAGGAATACCTCGTTTATTTCCATTATGAAATATAATTTTGTTCCTTTTTGTTGTTTTTTATTTAATATTTATTTCATTTAATATTTAATTGTCAGTTTGTGTCCTAAATACCTAAAGGAAACGCGTATAAACATCCCGTTGTACACTTTCAGTGTAATCGTTTTCAAGCGTTTCCCTTAATGAAAAATAGGAAAGTCGAATTAATACGTGCTACCACGATGAGGAAGAAAATAATTAGTATCATATGTTTAATAAAACATATATGTTCATATATTCAAATCACTCAGAACCAATTTCATTATTCATGCGTTGCATCGGAAAAAACATTGAACAGGACAGGTATCGATTCCATGGATATAATGTGACACATTCTCCACGTACCATGTAGCATATGTTAAGTCATATATTATCTATAAAATATACTGAAAATCCTTATGGCAGTGTTAATTGTGGCGTATATATACAGGCCTTAATATCCTCTTATGAATATATTTTGCCCATATTTGTCTGTAAACACAAATTATTTTGTTTTTGTGGAATTTTTATAATAAAGTAAAAATATATATTATATATCATTTCTTTGCCATTGCTTTCGTTCATTTTGTTCAAAATGTTGTAATTTTTATACCTACAAATATATGTTTTCTATACCGTACGACGTTTTGAAATAATCTAAATGTGTTTCTAAAGAATTACTTCTATTCGTAATTCATCAGGGTAAAAGGATTACATGTCATGTCTAAACCACAATCGTCATGGAAGTTCTTTTGTAGGCATATTTTGAGTGATCAAATGTTTATCATTATTGTAATACATTTAATGAAAACAAAAAAACAATTAGTAGACGCCATGGACAAAACATAGAGATTGTGGATTTATTTTCGAAACAGATGTTTTCAGATTGAAAAACGTGTATTTTTGTCTCCACGTGAATAGAAATAACTGATTTGTATCAAATACGTTACAGTCAGATTTTTTCATTCTGTAATGTATTTTCCCCTATCAATAAATTATGTGTAATATGTTGCACAGAGGTCGTGATTATCTCAAGTTCTCGTGTACCATATATATCCACATTAACAATATTGTCTATGTACACACAATGACAATCGATTTAAAAATGGTTGTTTAGAATTTTTCAGGTCAATAACTGACTCGCCTTTGCGTGTATTTGTGACAGGTGACAGTAGTTTGGTGACCATCTGCCGGTTATGGGTATACATAACCACGCGTTTGATCTTGTGGGTTGTCCTTTTGATCATGATTTGTCGCTTTTATCTGATAAAAATATTTGTGTATTTATACACTGCTGTGACGATAAACATGACATTTTGGATGTCAATACATAAAGAAACAAAAACGAAACACATGTTGTCCTCGAATAAAGAACACTACAAGATATAGACCTGTGTCTAATTAACGAAACACTTACCGCCGACTTATCCATATGGTCAAAGCGTCAAATTAGAATACAAATTAAATCCCCAAAACATATTAACATGTAAAGAATCAAAATTACATGGAACATTGAGAAATTAAATTGAAAATGTATACAAAGGTTTGCACACACAGAAATAAATATATATATATATATAGGTCTTTGTAACTGCCAACATGTACATAACTTACTTACATAAATTACGAATTGACAGAAACGGAAATGTCGGAAGATACGCTGAAAAAAACAACGTAATGTTTTATAAGTATCTGGTTTCAGCTGCGAAATATAGCTTATATCCACTTGAGAGTTGAACACTGTACAACATGTGACTGATCGACTCATGGTTCGACCAATCAGAACGACTGTCAATGTCAACATTCTCCCTGAAAGGTTAATACATGCACATGACCCATGTCTAGCTTTACAGCACTTGTATGAGAGTATGTCTATGCAACCGAGAACAAAACCACGGCTGTGATATATCTACATATTCATATTTAAAACGATATGATAATATACACAAAGGTAATATACGCGTGTCAGCAAAATAATGAAATTTACGGGCATATATATATTTTATTGGAACTTCTATTTTAATTATAAATGGAATTTTCAATAGGATGTCTTGCAGATTGTGATGGTATTCGAACGTTAGATACAGCATTAAATTGTAGAGCAGATCCACTGTCAGAAGATCGATAACTCCGTGGAAAATCTTGACCCTCGGATATGAGGTATTAAGCCCAGAATAAATGTCACACGTGGCATTTACAAACTATTTCCACAAAAAGTTAAAAATTAAATTTTAAAAAGGCTTATAAAGTATTCCCAAAGATAATGGTGTTTTTATTTCTTGTTGTATGAGTGAGTGAACAACCATTATGGAGAGCAAAAACTTATATCAAACCATCACACTTTCCGATGTTTCAAGTGGTAGAGGCCAACAATTAAGATGATAGAGGTTGTGTCGTCGAAATATCAAACTCCGTACGACCTTGCCCAGTACCGTAGCTGCACAACCCTTTTAACGGAATACGACTTAAAATAGTCGAATTCCGTTAAAAAAAAGACCAATTGATATTCAAACTGGAAATGCCATATTACAAATTAACGCCCATTTGCTCGGTATTTTATTCCCCACCAATTTATTCAAAGTTATCCTGGTTCGATCGATAAGTTACATTTGTGGTCATTACCTGGTCATTTCGAAACGACCATTTGTTGAGGTCACAAATTTACAAACATGATTTGCTGAGGCAAATGGAAAACCTTTCATCATGAAGATATCGAAATCAGGGGGCAATATGTGCGACGAATTGCAAAATGCATATAAAGTCAAGTTTACAAAAAAATATATATTAAATGTAAAAATGAGAAAGGAGTTTTAATCATATTGTCAACTCTCGTTACGTCTTACATTTATATCATTAGGGGTTGTTAGAAACCCATCTTGGTTAAATGTGATCAATTATCCCTTTGAGAAATATTTTCATGTTGTTGTCAAGTCTTGTTAAATATTACATTTTACATCATCAGGGTTGTTCGAAAGTCATCTTTGTGAAACTTGATCAAATATCACATAAGAAATCCGACTGATACCTGAGATAGCTAACACCGTTTGGCAATAGTTACAGCTTATTAACACCTGGTATGGTGGTACCGGTTAATTAATGGGATAATTAATGCTGATTGATACATGAAATAGCTGACGCTGATTGGTACACAACTTAGTTAACTTTTATTGATACCTGAGAAAATGAATGCTGATTAATACCTAACATGAATTACGCTGATTAATATCTGAAAGACGTTAACGCTGATTAATACCTGAGATTGAGATGTGAAGGCTGATTAATACCTGATATACTAGTAGTTAACGTTGACAAATACCTGAGATGTTAACACTGATAAATACCTGATATATTAACACTAATTAATACCTGGTATAGTTAACGCTGATTAATACCTGATATATTAACACTAATTAATACCTGGTATAGTTAACGCTGATTAATACCTGAGATTGAGATGTGAAGGCTGATTGATACCTGATATAGTTAACGTTGACAAATACCTGAGATGTTAACACTGATAAATACCTGATATATTAACACTAATTAATACCTGAGATGTTAACACTGATTAATACCTGATAAATACCTGAGATTGAGACGTGAAGGCTGATTAATACCTGATATAGTTAACGTTGACAAATACCTGAGATGTTAACACTGATAAATACCTGATATATTAACACTATTTAATACCTGATATAGTTAACGCTGTCTACCTGAGATGTTAACACTGATTAATACCTGGTATAGTTAACGTTGATAAATACCTGAGATGTTAACGTTGAACACGAGATGTTAACTGATTAATACCCGGTATAGTTAACGCTGTTAATGAAAACGCTGATTAATAACACTGATTATACCTGGTATAGTTAACGTTGATAAATACCTGAGATGTTAACACTGATTAATACCTGATATAGTTAACGTTGATAAATACCTGAGATGTTAACACTGATTAATACCTGGTATAGTTAACGTTGATAAATACCTGAGATGTTAACACTGATTAATACCTGGTATAGTTAACGCTGATAAATACCTGAGATGTTAACACTGATTAATACCTGGTATGAGTTAACGTTGATAAATAGTTAACCTGAGATGTTAACACTGATTAATACCTGAGATGTTAACACTTATTAATACCTGATATAATTAACGCTGTCTACCTGAGATGTTAACACTGATTAATACCTGATATAGTTAACTTTGACACATACCTGAGATGTTAACACTGATTAATACCTGGTATAGTTAACGCTGTCTACCTGAGATGAAAACACTGATTAATACCTGGTATAGTTAACGTTGATAAATACCTGAGATGTTAACACTGATTAATACCTGGTATAGTTAACGTTGATAAATACCTGAGATGTTAACACTGATTAATACCTGGTATAGTTAACGTTGATAAATACCTGAGATGTTAACTTTGATTAATACCTGAGATGTGAACACTGATTAATACCTGATATAGGTAACGTTAACAAATACCCGAGATATTAACACCGATAAAAACCTAAGATGTTAACACTGATTAATACCTGTGATAGTTAGAGCTGATTAATACCCAAATTCAAGAAACCTACAGCAGACTTATATAAATCACCGAAAAATTAGCATCACTTGGACGAGGTATGCAGTGCCACTACAAATCACGAGATGTCCAGTTGTATTTTTAAAAAAGTCTACATAACGTAATTCTCTTTGAGCAAACACTCTATCCGTCGTTTTCGTGGTGATTAGGTATGAAATGGCGACTAGTTTCGGGAGTTAACATGTACGTTCATACGGCTGTCTCAAAAGGGTCTCCCCTGCGCCATGTAAATCGCCGACACGTTTGTTTGCATCTGACTGGCAAAGGGGCTTCCAAATGCTCTTACATACGATATATTACATGCATCTATCTGTTTGCGTGTATTATTCCTTTACTTCTATTCACTCGATTGCTTAACAATAATAACATAGATTCTCATTTCAATGCTCTTTGTATTCCATAGAGACAAACGTTAAAAATTCATTAGCGGATGGCCAGGGAACATTGACTGTTATTACGCCCCTTCCGTCTGGCGATGGAAGTCTCGTTCTCGCGAGATTTGAGACCTTGAAGTCTTACTGTAACAATCCCCACGTGATCTCTATTTAGTTGAATTAATAAGCCATTTAAAGCAAATAAAACTGATATGTAATTTTATCAAACTCGACATCCCTGCAATGTTGATATCTAGGAATGCCGGAAATTCAATTTATTGAAATGCCATCTGACCAGGCTTTGATAAAGGAGAAATGAAGTTGTATTGTACATTTATGGTGATAATGTCTATAGATCACTAATGCCACCGCCAAGTATTCATACTGCACGATTCAGAGTATAAAGAGAGCCTCTCCAATGTCACTCGGCATTTCATGATGTCTGTTCGTGAGTCTTATTTCATATATAGGTCATAAAACTTTCAAAGTTTTTACTTCCAGATCAACAGCGTGACTGATAGTCCTATTCAAGATGGTGGATGTAAAATTTAAGACAGATTCCTTTTAAAAAAAAATGAGGACTATTACAACAATTCTCTTAACGTGTCAGGTAACCCTATTTATTATTCCTAAGCGAACTTTATATCGTTGAATCATTTGAAACATAAGAAGAGTTATTTAAGATTTTGTATGAGTGAGTGAATGAGTATAGTTTTACGCCGCTTTTGGCAACATTCCAGCAATATCACGGCGGGGGACACTAGAAATGGGCTTCATAAACTGTAGCCTACCCATGTGGGGAATCGAAACCGGGTCGAAGGCATGACGAGCAAACAAACGCTTTGACCACTGGGCTACCCCACCGCCCCAGATTTTGTATGAAAGGAATAACTTGCAGATCATGTGATCATTGTCACGGTCATCTAGTATCATTATTCTTATTGGTCTCCCATACTTACGGTATGATCAAGTTCATGCCAAATATTTCACTGCAATATACATTTTGTTAACTGACAGGTCTGTGACGAATACCTGTAGATTGCATAATTCAATTTAACGTCTGCTCCGTGACGAATATCAATGACGTCGTCGTCATCTCCACCACCATCATAATCATCACCATCATCAAAAGCATCATCATCATCATCACCATAACTGAAATGTTCTTGTGAATTTTGGAGAAACTAAGCTGCTAGTGAGGGCATCATCATCATCATCATCATCATCATTATAAGAATAATTGAAATGTTCACGTGCATTTTGGAGAACCAAAGATGCTAGTGAGGGCAAGTGATTGCAATATTAACATGGACCATTCTAAATGGGAAACAAATACCACTATCATTTTGTGTACCATTTTGTTGTGTAAAAGGTTAAAACTAATTTCCCTTTTATGGTATCTCAGGGCCTTAATTAACAACCCCTCAAGTCATCATCTTCAGTACTTCAAGAGTATCAGCATTCAGAGATTCCACTACCGTTAATATCTTAACTTGTTACACAACACTGAAGTGATTGGGAGGAGGGGTTCAAACAAAGTAATTCAATACTGACGTTTTATCTTTCTTCCGATGACATATCCAGGTGTCATGGTGGCATTGCTGGGGTTGAGTGTAACATATCCCCCTATTTGCCCGTAATTCAAGTCTCAGTTGAAATGTTTGTATGATATTGTCAGTTCTTGTCAAATCGTACATTTTACATCACAGGGAGTCTTTAGAACCCCAACCTGGAGAAAAATGATTGTCAGCTCTTGCACCACCTAACATCAGCAGGGGTTGCAAGAGACACGTGTTGACAAAATGAGACCCTGTAAGACACAAATATTAACGAAAATTAAATGTGAAAATGAGCTGCTCTATTGCTCTTTCAGGTACATGTGACTTTGGTCAGCTGGACAAAGTACAAATACATATACTACTGTGGAAAGAATCAAGGATAGCTGAAGACTTGTAGCTTCCAGAGATACCCATTAGAGCAAAGCCGTTCAAGCCGTTCAGCCAGTTTAATAAAATAGTAATTATATACACTGTGTTGCTCCGTCCATATCACATACTGTACAGTCTTAATGTGGTGAGCCATCGCAATGCATTCCAGTAAACGGCTGGGGAATAACAAGACGTGTGACGTCATACTGCTTCCGCACTGGCACCATTAAACGCCATGCTTTACAGACAGGATGGTTGGTAGGCTTACTGAAGGACAGACACGATGGTTGGTAGTCTTACTGAAGGACAGACAGGATGGTTGGTAGTCTTACTGAAGGACAGACAAGATGGTTGGTAGTCTTACTGAAGGACAGACAGGATGGTTGGTAGTCTTACTGAAGGACAGACAAGATGGTTGGTAGTCTTACTGAAGGACAGACAAGAAGGACAGAAGGACAGATGGTTGGTAGTCTTACTGAAGGACAGACAAGATGGTTGGTAGTCTTACTGAAGGACAGACAAGGATGGTTGGTAGTCTTACTGAAGGACAGACAAGATGGTTGGTAGTCTTACTGAAGGACAGACAAGATGGTTGGTAGTCTTACTGAAGGACAGACAAGATGGTTGGTAGTCTTACTGAAGGACAGACAAGATGGTTGGTAGTCTTACTGAAGGACAGACAAGATGGTTGGTAGTCTTACTGAAGGACAGACAAGATGGTTGGTAGTCTTACTGAAGGACAGACAGGATGGTTGGTAGTCTTACTGAAGGACAGACAGGATGGTTGGTAGTCTTACTGAAGGACAGACAAGATGGTTGGTAGTCTTACTGAAGGACAGACAAGATGGTTTACTGAAGGACAGACAAGATGGTTGGTAGTCTTACTGAAGGACAGACAAGATGGTTGGTAGTCTTACTGAAGGACAGACAGGATGGTTGGTAGTCTTACTGAAGGACAGATGGTTGGTAGTCACTGGATGGTTGGTAGTCTTACTGAAGGACAGACAGGATGGTTGGTAGTCTTACTGAAGGACAGACAAGATGGTTGGTAGTCTTACTGAAGGACAGACAGGATGGTTGGTAGTCTTACTGAAGGACAGACAGGATGGTTGGTAGTCTTACTGAAGGACAGACAGGATGGTTGGTAGTCTTACTGACTGAAGGACAGACAGGATGGTTGGTAGTCTTACTGAAGGACAGACAGGATAGGTTGGTAGTGGGACAGACAAGATGGTTGGTAGTCTTACTGAAGGACAGACAGGATGGTTGGTAGTCTTACTGAAGGACAGACAGGATGGTTGGTAGTCTTACTGAAGGACAGACAGATGGTTGGTAGTCTTACTGAAGGACAGACAGGATGGTTGGTAGTCTTACTGAAGGACAGACAGGATGGTTGGTAGTCTTACTGAAGGACACACAAGATGGTTGGTAGTCTTACTGAAGGACAGACAGGATGGTTGGTAGTCTTACTGAAGGACAGACAAGATGGTTGGTAGTCTTACTGGTTGGTAGTCTTACTGAAGGACAGACAGGATGGTTGGTAGTCTTACTGAAGGACAGACAGGATGATGGTTGGTAGTCTTACTGAAGGACAGACAGGATGGTTGGTAGTCTTACTGAAGGAGGACACTGAAGGACAGACAGGATGGTTGGTAGTCTTACTGAAGGAGTCTTACTGAAGGAGTCTTACTGAAGGACAGACAGACAGGATGGTTGGTAGTCTTACTGAAGGAGAGACAGGATGGTTGGTAGTCTTACTGACTGAAGGACAGACAGGATGGTTGGTAGTCTTACTGAAGGACAGACAGGATGGTTGGTAGTCTTACTGAAAGGACACACAGGATGGTTGGTAGTCTTACTGAAGGACAGACAGGATGGTTGGTACTGAAAGGACAGACAGGATGGTTGGTAGTCTTACTGAAGGACAGACAGATGATGGTTGGTAGTCTTACTGAAGGACAGACAGGATGGTTGGTAGTCTTACTGAAGGACAGACAGGATGGTTGGTAGTCTTACTGAAGGACAGACAAGGATGGTTGGTCTTACTGAAGGACAGACAAGGATGGTTGGTAGTCTTACTGAAGGACAGACAGGATGGTTGGTAGTCTTACTGAAGGACAGACAAGATGGTTGGTAGTCTTACTGAAGGACAGACAGGATGGTTGGTAGTCTTACTGAAGATGGTTGGTAGTCTTACTGAAGGACAGACAAGATGGTTGGTAGTCTTACTGAAGGACGAGACAATAGGATGGTTGGTAGTCTTACTGAAGGACAGACAAGATCTTGGTAGTCTTACTGAAGGACAGACACAAGATGGTTGGTAGTCTTACTGAAGGACAGACAAGATGGTTGGTAGTCTTACTGAAGGACAGACAGGATGGTTGGTAGTCTTACTGAAGGACAGACAAGATGGTTGGTAGTCTTACTGAAGGACAGACAAGATGGTTGGTAGTCTTACTGAAGGACAGACAGGATGGTTGGTAGTCTTACTGAAGGACACTGGTTGGTAAGAAGGACAGACAGGATGGTTGGTAGTCTTACTGAAGGACAGACAAGATGGTTGGTAGTCTTACTGAAGGACAGACAGGATGGTTGGTAGTCTTACTGAAGGACACTGACAGACAAGATGGTTGGTGGTTGGTAGTCTTACTGAAGGACACACAAGATGGTTGGTAGTCTTACTGAAGGACACACAAGATGGTTGGTAGTCTTACTGAAGGACAGACAGGATGGTTAGTAGTCTTACTGAAGGACAGATAAGATGGTTAGTAGTCTTACTGAAGGACAGATAAGATGGTTAGTAGTCTTACTGAAGGACACACAAGATGGTTGGTAGTCTTACTGAAGGACACACAAGATGGTAGGTAGTCTTACTGAAGGACAGACAGGATGGTTAGTAGTCTTACTGAAGGACAGATAAGATGGTTAGTAGTCTTACTGAAGGACAGATAAGATGGTTAGTAGGCTAATTGAAAGACAGACAAATCGGTTGGTGCTTTGTATTTAAGGACAGACAAGATTGTTGATGGTTTGTATTGAAGGAAATAGATACAGGTTGGTACTGACGACGTTTTGATAAGAGATAGATAGATGTTGTGTAGGTGTATCTTACCATATCGTCAACGTCAGGATATCTCCACCAGCTTGATACACCAAACTTCCGAGACTGTTGAAAAAAAACACACACGACTTTATTGATAACAACTTACTACACACCATCGGTCTACGAAGAGTTAGTCAAGGTATAGACTTTATCAGTCAGCACCCTATCAGCCTGTTTTTACTGTTTTCACTACTTAATCATCCTGCTTATTGACTTCATGGCCCGAGCAATTTGTTGTTCGTACTTCCCACTAGACCTCATCCAATATTGTACCAGTTGCTATTCAATTATAAGATGATAATGCTAATCCGATGTTTGTCACAACATACTATGTATTGATACCTCTCAATACGTGGCGGTAGTCACTTCTAGCTTGGAAACGATATAAGAATCTGTATCGCTCTATGCAATAAAGAAGCAGTTGATATTCAGTCATATGCTTTATTTTGGTAACCACGGTGCCTCAGATTGTCAGCACGGGTTATTGACCCCGAATAACCCGTTCTACGTCATATATTCCCCTGGTCTGTATTTCTAGAGCCAGAGGGACAGATGCTTACTTGGTCCATGTAAAGTACCACCGATCACAAACGATGTCCTTCGTACTTTAACAAGCGTTACTATGACAACGTGATAATGCTTTGCTTTGGAACCATTAAAGTTTGGAACATATTTGCTTTATTGTTGTGAATCTGCGACCCATCTTTCCGTTCTCTGTCCGGATTAGGGGCGGTGGGGTAGCTTAGTGGTTAAAGCGTTCGCTCGTCACACCAAAGACCCGGGTTCGATTCCCCACATGGGTACAATGTGTGAAGCCAATCTCTAGTGCCCCCCACCATGATGTTGCTGAAATATTGCTAAAAGCGGCGTAAAACTAAAGTCATTCACTCACTCTGTCCAGATTAACAAGGTTCGAAAGTTGTTGAGTAGAAAACGTGCAAGACGAACAGGTGATTTTGCAAGTGACATGACACTGAAGTTGCACATTGTTTTCATTTTCAGTGTTTTTAATCAAACCTTCCGATCCCGTCTCAGGTAGATTTATATACAGCATTAGGACAGATATTGTTAAAGTCACAGCATATCATGGTACAGAATCCGATCCCGACTCCACAGCGTGTATCGTACTCCACGCAGCGTAAAAAAAAGACGGTAAACAGCATCAAACACCGATTCAGAAGAAATGAATAAATACGAACTATGAATCCCTAGCTATGAATAAAAGATCCAGGGATTAATAATCCAGTTGACATTGTAGCCGTGACTTACGACGCCGTGGCTTTAACGCGTCTGAAACCAGCTGAATCTAAAGTTGTATTTGCTGGTGGAGTAATGTTTTACGCCGCTATTAGCTACATCCCTGCAGCCTCACGACAGGGTGAGTGAGTGAGTATAGTGTTACGAGGCATGTAGCAACAATCCAAAAATAACACGGCGGGGAACACCAGAATCGGGCTTCACACATTGCAACCGTGTGGGGAATCGACCCCGGGTCTTCGGCGCGACGAGCGAACGCTCTGACCACTAGGCTAACCCACCTTCCCCTCACGGCTGGGGCCTCATGGGCTTCATACATAACATATACACGGACATAAATACATAGAACTCTCATATGGGGGTCTATATTTTATAGCGTAACAAAACGTCAAGGACACCGTCTACGCTGTGATACGCATTCAACGATTTAATACTGAGTGAGTGAGTGTGGCTTCACACCGTTTGAGTGGCACTACTCAAGCAATAGGCGACACAATGGATTTCGGACATTGTAACCACTTTGGGAATCGATCCTGGGCTTCGACATGACGAAGGAACGTTTCAACCACTAAGCTAGCCCCGGCCTTCAACGACTGAAGAAAGATATATACACAGTCAAATTTATAATCCATCTATATAGACCCATTCGTGTCCGAATATGGAAAACGGAATGACAAAAGACGATTTGCGACTCTATCTACCTTACTATACTACTCACACTTTGCTAAGGATCAC